TTGTGTCATCATGACAAAGTTCCAGTCATTTGCACATGTAAAATTTTGGTCATTATAGTATCACAGGCAAATGTTCATGGGATACTAAGTTGATGTTGACTCTTCTGAAATTGTTAAACATAAACTCCAGAGGAAGATTTGCACCGGCGCTAAGGGGTGCTACTGCTAAACCCAACATGAACGAAAATGCCCGTGCGTTGTGTGATATGGTGGAAAAAGTCCTATTTCACGGAGTTACTTTGTCAGTATCGTTTTGATATTAAGTAATGTCCCGGCGGAAAACAACAGATGACACCACGGCTGTCCAACAAGGCCGAACTCACGGTAAGAAAGCTTTTATGAATAGCAAGCACGTGCAGCGAGGCGAGTTGCTTTGTTTGTTTCTTACAGAAAGCGGTCTGTCATTTTCATAATGCCAAAACAAGTGTAGGGTTTTGTTTTGTATTTTTTATTACATGTGATGTTCTGAACTCTTAAAAATACTCGCATCTTCTTTTATTTTTTTCAGATATGAAAAATGGCCAAGCCTCCACAGCCAGGCCTCAGATCATGGTGCCGAGGCGCTCTTACGGAGTCCACCAGGACGAAGTGAAATTCAGTAAGTTATGATTCCACATTTAGTCAATAGTGAACACTCGCATATGTGTAAGGAAAACTGATCTTCCAGTTATTTTATGTATTTTGTTATAACGCAATACAGCAAGGCAGAGTGTGGTAAGCAGTAGAGATCGACAACACGGAGGATGGATATAAGGACGGAGCCATGAAGCCGGTTTGTATTATGTACAGTCACTGCGTTGATTCCCGATTGTACAATGGCTGGTTGAGAATAATTTTAACTTATTTACTTATGTATTTTTGAGAAAGCGATATATTTGCTACAATATATTTTTTAAATTTTACATTTATTTCCACAGACTCCACAGAATGGGAGTCACATTTGTGTCAATCAGAATCTTCAGGAACGTTCTGATGTCCGTGATGAGGACAGAGATGCAACTGTGTGTGAGTATCTACTATTTTAGAATGTTGATATTTTATGCTTCAGTATTGTTTATGTACATAATGTAATTATGCTATGTATTGACAATGCACAAAAATGTTTTCCAGCTGCATCCAGGACCTACTGCCAGTCATCCAGAGAAGCAGCTAAGATTTATTACTAGAGATGTCACAATTCCTTGAACGATTAAAGTACTGTGATTTATTAAAATCCATCAAAGCAAATTATCTGCCTCAGAGTTTGTTGAATTATGTTTTACTATTTATTACCAACTGCTTTTAATTCTTTTTCTTTCAATTGTTTTCTTTTTTCATTAAAGTTTTTATTTTCTGTAAGAATGTTTTAATATAATGCAGTTTGTTTTAATGTCTTATGTGTGCATACTAAGCTGGAAGTTGCCAAACATTTTCACTGTAGTTTCATAAAGACGAAAAAATGC